AACCAGAGGAGGAGTGGTTACTTTTAATCTGAGCTCTGTTAGAAGAGATTTGAGCCACTGAGTTTCTGCTACCAAAGCTGCAAGGCTTCTGTACTCTGCCTCTGTGCTGCTTCTGGACACAACTTGCTGCTTCTTGGCCATCCAGGATATCATGTTGCTGCCAAGGAACAAACAGTAACCAGAGGTGGACCGCATATCATCTTGATCAGAGGCCCAATCACTATCACAGTAGCCAATTAGATGCAAATTATGTGACTTTTCAAAGAGCAGACCATGATCACGCGTCCCATTTATGTACCGTAAAACCCTCTTAACAATCTTCCAGTGACTTTGTAATGGCCTGTGCATATATTGACACAGTTTGTTGACTGTAAAGGCAAGATCTGGTCTGGTAATAGTTAGATACTGAAGAGCACCAACAACAGAACGATACAGACGTGGATCTTCAGCTACTTCTGTTCCTGCAGATTGAAACTTGCATCCAGGGGCAAGAGGAGTCTTCACAGATTTGGCATCCTGCATATTTAATTTATGCAACAAGTCAGAAGCATATTTGGACTGACTTAAAAGTAACTTACCATCACTAAGACTTTTGGCTTCTATTCCAAGAAAATAATGCAATTCTCCAAGATCCTTTAAGGGAAAAATTTTATTTAAGGCGGAGATAACATGTTGCACAAAATCAGCATTGTTTCCTGTGATAAGAATGTCATCAACATACACAAGCATATATGTAATACTGTTAGCAGTACTATGTATAAATAATCAATGATCACATTTAGCTGAAACAAATCCAAAGGATACAAGTGTAGAGGCTAGTTTGCCAAACCAAGCTCTTGGCGCTTGTTTTAACCCATAGAGCGCCTTCTTTAATCTGCACACCAGATTGGGATTGCTAGTGTGAAACCCTTCTGGTGGTTTCATGTAGACCACTTCTTGAAGAGTTCCATTCAAAAAAGCATTATTAATATCCACTTGTCTAATAGACCAACCTTTAGACAATGCAATGGAAAGTATGACTCTGATAGTCACATGTTTAACTACAGGGCTAAACGTTTCTTGATAATCCAAACCATGTTGTTGGGTATATCCTCTTGCCACTACCCGAGCTTTATATTTAGAAATACTTCCATCAGGATTGTGTTTGAGCCTAAAAATCCACTTGGAGCCCACTGGTTTTCTATGCGGAGGTAAAGGAACAAGATCCCACGTTTGGTTTTTGACTAAGGCATTGAGTTCCTCATGCATAGCTTGAACCCACTGAGGAGATTGAAAAGCTTCTCTAACTGTAGTTGGTTCCATTTCAGCCACCATGGCCTTTGGTTTAAAAATGCCAACCTTGCCTCTTGTGACCATAGGATGATTATTGATGACTAAGGGTGTAGCTCCACTACTAGGACCTGTATCAAAAACAGTCTCAACAGAGGGGTCAGCAATATTATCAGTTAAGATAGGTTCATCAGTATGAGAAGGCAGGACTGCAGGGACATTTGTTAAAGGACCCGTAGGTGGAGGAGTATCCTCAAATTGAGGTGCTCTATAAGTAGAAACAACAGGTATAATTGGAGAACGAGTATTACTAGTAGTAGGAAGAGAACTCAGATTTTCGTGCCTGTTACTAAGCATAGGAAAATCAAATTCATCAAATACAACATGCTTAACAATATAAATTCTTCCTGTTGCATCAAGACATTTATAACCCTTATGATTACAACTATAGCCTAAAAAGATACACGGTTTGGACCTGTAATCCATTTTATATTGATTATAAGGTCGAAGATATGGGTAACACCTGCAGCCAAAACGTCTAAAGATGTTGTAATCTGGTTTCTTATGAAATAGAATTTCAAACGGAGATTTTAATTTCAAAACAGGAGTAGGAATGCGATTTATAACAAAGATAGCACAAGCAAACGCATGGTACCAATACTCAAATGACAAACCAGATTAAGCTAGTAAAGTGAGACCGGTTTCAGTAATGTGACGATGCTTCCTCTCAGGAGAACCATTCTGCTCATGCGTGTGAGGACAACTAAACCTGTGAACGATGCCACTCTCTTTGAGGACAGAACTAAAACTCTGATATTCTTTTGCAACATCAGTTTGGAGAATTTTCAATTTCTTTTGAAATTGTAACTACCATCTTTTTAAATTCAAGAAAAGAATTTAGTGCTTGAGACCTGTATTTTAAGAAGTAAACCCAAGAGAATTTCGAATATGCATCAAGAAACACAATATAATATCTATATCCTTCTTTTGAAGGTATGGGTGATGGTCCCCAAATATCAGAATAGACTAATTGCAAAGGCTCAGTATAGACAGATTCAGAAATAGAAAATGAAGATTTATGCATTTTGCCTAAGCAACAAGAACCACACACTGTAGCATTGTCATGTAGTGGTACAGAGATATTACACTGTTTTAAGACATGTTTGACAATTTTGTTTGCACAATGGCCTAGCCTAGAGTGCCATATGGGTAAACTATTACATGTGGTAGATGAATATAAGGCTGAAACAGGAAAATCATTATTAGGATGAACAATTTGTAGATTCTCAAAAGCATATAGACCATTTTTAAGTTTCCCTTGTAGCAGAATCTTCCGAGAACCCTGAGATTTAACAAAACAATCAGTGGAATGAAATTCAAAGAAACATGAGTTTTCTTTGGCAAATTGAGCAACACTTAATAGATTTTTAGTTATATCAGGTACATGCAACAGCTTATTAAGAGTAAAAGCAATATTGTTGGAAGGATTTTTGAGTTTAGAAGTGCCAATATTGTGGATAGGCAGGCAATTACCATTACCAACTACTACCTTTTCTGTTCCTACAAAAGGAGTTTTGATCATTAGATTCGAGAGGTTACTAGTAAAATGATTTGATGCACCTGTATCCGGGTACCAAGTTTCATCCAAAGAAGATTGAGTTGCAGAGGTTGCTGTCATAGCTTGATGGAGAGGTTCTTGTATAACAGCATCAGATGTGTTATGCTGAGTGGTCTTGGGGTCTGGGAGATTTTCATCAAAACGGGACCAACAATGATAGGCAGAATGTCCCAATTTGCCACACAGTTGACATTGAATGCGTTGCCCTCGACCTCCACCAAAGCTATGTTGATTCGAGCGGCCAGACCTGCCTCTTCCACGATTCTCACCACGTCCACGCCAGCGATTGGTCACAAGATTCCCTTTCTTGGGTTGAGACTGAGCAATATTTGCCTGAGGAGTGAGCGTCTCACGTTTCTTATGCCTCTCAAGACGTTCTTCTTGATGCATCAGTAGAGCTTCAATTTCAGCAACAGTGTATGCTTCAGTCCGTGTGATACACGAAGTGATGAATCCATCATAGTTTTCGTCAAGACCATCAAAGATTGCGTCGATGTGATCTTCAACTGATAGCGGCGACCCGATTGCAGCTAGGGTTTCAACGATTTGTTTCACCTGGACAAGGTACTCAGCGATCGATCCAGTTTTCTTAATGTTGCGAAGTTGAACCTTTAATTGCTTGACACGCGCTCGCGTTTGAGAGGCGAAATACACTTTCAAGGCATGCCAGATTTGATGCGACCATTCGCACCCAACCATGCGTATCTTAAATTGGGAATCCATAGATTCAAGCAACCAAGATTTCAATAGGTTGTCTTGTTGCTCATAATTTTCAAATGCAGCATTTATGGAACCCTTCCGTTCATCATCCGTAGTCAAGAATTTTGCAGGGATTGATGTGGCTCCATCGATATGTCGTTGTAAGCGAAAACCCTTGATCGTCGCTTCTGCATGTTGCATCCAGGTGAGGAAATTATCATCCGTTAGTTTGGACGAGATCGCATTGGAGAAGACATGAGGGTGAAACGGAGTGTCTGCGGAAGCCATAGGAGAGACCTAGGATCGTGGCGTAACTGATACCATGTAAGGTGTGTCTCCGTTTGAGAGAACTAAGAGAACAGAGAGAACAGAGAGATAGGTGTTTCTTTTGTTATTGCTGAAGTAAAAGCTGAACCTTGTATTTACAATAGAAACGCTACACTATATATATATAACAACTTAACCAACACTTGTATTATCAGTTTTACCTCTAACACTTAACATTAAGTATATGATAAATTATGTTTTAAAAAAATATTTACATTATATACATTTAAGGATTCCAATAAAAAATAGTTACTATTTCTAATAATGGATACATTATGTTAATATTATGGTTAAAAAAAGTATAACTTTAAGTGTTAAAGAGTGCTTGCATGTAACCTCAAACGTGTGGTTCAGTGGTAGGGGCTGATCCACGCTTAAGCAAGGTCAGGGGTTCGAATCCTGCTTTGTGTATCTAGCCACGTTAAATCTCGAGGAGATTAGTCACCGTGAATGGCGGTGGATACTCCAGGAACCAACCAAAAAAGAGTGCTTGCATGTGCTCCCGCACCACTTGCGGACAACCACGGAACTCCTCCCTCTTAAAGCTGCGGAAAGCTATCTTTGATCAAACCCTTTCAAGTTTTTTCGACCCTCCACATTAGAGCAAACACTTATCACCATCATAGTGATAATTTATCTACAAGAATTATCAATATGATAATTAAGTCTTGTAGTTCAAACATTTAGGCCTTATTTGCTACAATGAAAGCGGAAGGATAGAATGAAAAAGAAGGAAAAGTTAAAAAAAATAATCCCTCCCCAGTTTGGTGATGAGGGACAGAGGAGAGTAGGTGTAGGATTACAATAAGCGTGTCATTCAGTTTCTGTCCATTTTGGGAAAGAAAATGAAAATGGGAGTGCATGATCTTTTTCTTGAATTACTAAATTGCACTTATCATATTATATTGTTAAAAATATGCAATTAGGGTTTCGATTAAAAAATTATATGCAACATGAACATGGTAAAGGTGGGTTTACGTTGCACTCGTGAAAAATAAGGATATACACGGCAACGAAGAACCAGCATTATTACGACACATCAAGCATTTGGCACAGGACAAAGTCATTTGGCTGCACCAGATTTTTTGACCGACACACCAATATCTCTCCCCTGCTTTTCTTTTTTGTTTCCATTGCACCGAGCCACTCACTAACCCAAAACTAAAAAGCTTTGGGGGGTGGAAACTTGGGTTCACCCCGTTCTCACCGACTTTGTCTCTCTCACTTACTCAGTCACAGTAAACCCAAGTGTGCCTCTATCTATCTATGCTTTTGTTTATACCCTCTTTATAAGTAGCGATGCAGAGCTTAGCATTCAGATTCCCCCCACCACTCTCCCCCATCTCTTCACTCTTTTTCTCCTTAGAAAGAGAGTGTTACAACTATAATTATATACTATACTATAGTACTACCACTACATAAAGCAAAGATTCTGCTTCAACTATCATCCCCATTCTTTATCCCCTGTTATCACCTGCACACTAACACACTCCAACTAACAAACAATGCCTCAATTCTCACATCACCGATACCCTTCTCAAGCTCTCTTCGCCTTCCTTCTCTTCCTCGTATCCAGAGGTAAATTTAGATTCTAATGGAATTAAGAAAATGGGGTTGAATTGATTAAAAAAAATATATTAATTATGCAATTCGACTTTGGTTCCAACTAATTTCTAGTCAAATTGAAACACTTGATTATAAGCATGTGTAATATGAAACAATCTAATAATTTTTCCAACCTATACCGAGGAATAACCAAATGTTCGAATGCAGGGGTTTCAGGGGCAACATTTACTTTCGTGAACAAGTGCGATTACACGGTGTGGCCAGGGATTTTAGGAACACCAGAAATCGGAGCCACAGGCTTCGAACTCACCAAAGGAAGTTCCAGAAGCTTCCAGGCTCCGACCGGCTGGTCCGGTAGATTCTGGGGCAGAACCGGTTGCCAATTCGACGCTTCCGGCAACGGAACCTGCGCCACCGCGGACTGCGGCTCCGGGAAGGTCAGCTGCAACGGCGCCGGAGCCTCCCCGCCGGCCACCCTCGCCGAGTTCACCCTCGGCACGGGCTCCATGGACTACTACGACGTCAGCCTCGTCGACGGGTACAACCTGCCGATGACGGTGGTGGCCAGCGGCGGGG